TAAACTCATATACAGTAAATTAAACAAATATTCCCAAAACGAGTCATATCTGTCCAGTTTCCTCACCTCCATCCAAGACAAGTGGAGGAACTTTACGTAAAACGAGACACAGTCGTTCTGTTACCATCCTGGCGTTTAGGTATATCTATAAACGAAATAGCTATACAAAGGCAGAGCAGAGCGATGCATCCGTTCACAGTACAGTCAAGAGTAGAGTCGGACCATCATACGATACTGTTAAGGCCACGTTTATGTGAAGTGTTTCCGAGTTCATTTCTAGTGTAAAATTCTATCACTGGGTCAATTACTTGTTTAGCGATTCTTGTCTGGGGAACTGGTGTTGATGGTGTTGATGGTGTGTGGTGGTGAAGGAGCTGTTGCTATGCTGTGGTAGAGGTGCTGTGGTGTGTCTAGAGAGCAGAGTTTAATTACGTTAGTGTGGTGGGGCAGCTGCTGTGGAACTCTGCTATGTCGGGGGAAGTGAGTCAACCCCTTTGTCACACTGGTGGGCTGCATTTATGTGTGAGAGAGAGAGAGAGAGAGAGAGAGAGAGAGAGAGAGAGAGAGAGAGAAAACAAAGGGAATGAGAAAGAGAGAATAAGATAGAGAAAAGTGAAAGAGAAAACAAAAGATAATAAGAGAAAGAGTGAAAGGGAGACGAGAGAGAATGGAAAAGAGAGAATATGAAAGAGAGGATGACAGAGACACCAACATCCATATTGTACACTGTCTCTCTGTGTGACTTTTAGCCGTGAGGGAGCCCGGGGCTGTGACCTATAAATAACAACAACTGCGCCGTGTCAACAACCATAACCTAACCTAACCTAAACAAACCCCATTTCCACCTCACCTTGCATTGTGGGGTTCATACTAAGAAACACACACACACACACACACTACACCCACACACACACACACTACACACACACACACACTTCCCAGTAGTATCGCGTTACTGAAATAGGATTAAATGTTCAGTTTATCAGTTACATTACACTAAGTCTTGTGAGGTTAGGTTAGTGTTATTATAATTGTTTTAATAACATAAGAACATAAGAATGGAGGACACTGCAGCGGGTCATACTGGACAGTCCCGTTTACACCCAACCCCTATCGCTCATATATCCACCCAACCTGTGTTTGAAGCTATCCAGCGTATTAGAGTTAATGATGATGTTTGGTAACTTGTTCCACTCGTCCACTACTCTATTTCCAAACCAATGTTTACCTATCTAGCGCCTAAATCTAAATTTGTCTAATTTAAAATCATTGTTACGAGTTCGCTCCTGGTTGGATAGTTTGAGTACCTTTGTTATATCACCTTTGTTCAGCCCTGACTTCCATTTATACACCTCTATCAGGTCGCCCCTCACTCTACGTCTCTCGAGGGAGTGCAAATTAAGATGCTTTAATCTATCTCTGTACTCAAGGTTCCTGTTGCCCGGGATTAATCTTGTCATTCTCCTCTGAATTGGCCCATCGCCAACACCTCAATTAGGTCGCCCCTTGCCCGTCTGTAGCCAAGTTCAGGCGCTCCAACCTCTCAGGGTAGTTGAGGTGCCGAAGTGAAGGCACCAGTCTGGTGGCCCTCCTTTGGACATTTTCAACCAACTGGCAGTCCCTAGCATATCTCGGGGACCAGACGGGGTGACAGTACTCCAGATGGGGAAGCACTTCACTCTTGAAGATCGTTACGAGGGACGGACCGTCTAGATATCTGAACGACCTTCTTATAAGACCTAATTATTTATTTGCCTGATTTACCTTCTTCTCGCAATGGCCCGAGAACTTCAGCTCATTGTCAACATACACACCTAGGTCCTTCTCACATTCAGTCTCAAATAGTGCAGTTTCTTCATCCCGTTGGGACATATGATATGCCTCCTTACCGTTGGTACGCCCCAGGTGCATCCTCTTACACTTCGTGGCATTGAATCTCAGCAGCCATTTCTTTGACCAATCTTGGAGATCACAGAGATCCTTCTGCAGCTCTTCACAGTCCGCTTGGTTCTCGATTTCCTCAAATAACTTAGTGTCATCCGCAAACATTTGTATGGAGGAGTGTACAACGTCAGGCATGTCATTTATGAAACACACAAACAACAGCGGGCCCAATACACTGCCCTGTGGTACCCAGCTTGTGACAGGTACAGATGATGATTTCGTGCCATTAATCACCACACACTGCTTGCGGTCACGCAGAAAGTCTTCTATCCACGCTAGGACATTTCCCCGAATTCTGTACCCTTCCAGTTTCATTTTCAGCCTTTCATGGGGTACTCTGTCGAAAGCCTTGGCAAATTCTAGGTATATATTGTCGATATTACCACCCCGTTCCAGAATATGGGTCCAAATATCCAATACCTTGAGCAATTGTGTTAAGCAAGAGCGCCCCGGCATAAAACAGTGTTGGCAATCCTTTACAAGGTTGTTTCATAGTAGATGTTCCATCGCGGCATCTTGGATAATACTCTCAAGTACTTTACATATTATGCTGGTC